CTACAAACAGGGCTATTGTAGGGTGAATGTTTGGTTCTTCTTTTTCTATCGACTGCCACGGATGGCTTGGTGAGGGTGGTAAAATAATGAGAAATAATCTCTTCAAGGAATCAAGAAAAGGATCAATTCAACTTCGCTCGAGGACATCAACAACAAGCTCTCCCACTACTCACACTAACGTCACGATTGACGCTAGCGGCCGACTGGGCCGATCCGGAGCTATAAACGACCCACCTAATGCGCGCTTTTGGAGCGCGTCTTCCCAGTAAATTTAGTGCAATATACGGTACCAGAAGGTATTCGCAGAGCTACCATTTCTAACTTTTCGATATTTTTGAGCGCTTTTGACAACACGAAGTGGAATTTTACAACAAACTCCAAAGGTTCTCGAGCAGGAAATAACCGCCAGCATGGCCCCTCAATCGGAAGATCCTGATGTGAACAGTAAGTTTTGCTTTTGCGGTGCAGCGCATTCTATTCTGTAAGCTCAGTCTTGTAGAGACTTGCTAATGAATGCGAAAGTGAATCAATCAGTAGATGATAATGAAGATATGGAACAAAAGATTATCAATGAGGGTACTAATCTGATCTTGCCCCAAGAAATGAGGGATCATAACTAAGCTTGCGATCAGAGTACAAAACATGGAAGAAGAATAGCCCTTTCCTCTACGATATGATTTTAAGGTAGATCTATCATACGACTATTCAAGCCAGATCTCAACTAATAGTCTACTAGCACTGCGCTTGAATGGCCTACCTTGACAACTCAATGGTTTCCTGATGTTAAAGAGTATGTTCAATCGAGTTGTTTCGGTTGTGAACGTTACTAATAAATTCTAGACCAGCAGGAAAGAACTATTCCGTCCACAGACTTCTTATTGGTACTCATACCTCGAACGGCGCACAGAACTATCTACAAATTGCCAATGTCGAGTTGCCAAAAAACGTCACCCCGAACCATGTTGATTACGATGAGGATCGAGAGGAGATTGGAGGTTATGGAAAATCATCATCTGGGGAACAGGCAGCGATCAAAATGACCATCGAACAAAAGATCGACCATCCGGGAGAGGTAAACAAAGCCAGATACCAACCACAAAACCCAAATATTATAGCTACTATGTGTGTTGATGGCAGAGTTTTGATCTTCGATCGTACCAAGCACAGCAGCCTTCCCAAAGGCGTTGTCAGCCCACAAGTTGAGCTTATAGGACACAAGAAGGAGGGATTTGGTCTAGGCTGGAACCCACACGTTGCTGGTGAACTTGCGACTGGTAGCGAAGACAAAACAGTCCGATTATGGTAGGTCAAACAGGTTTCGAAACCTAAAGCTCTACTGACTTGGCAATAGGGATCTCAATACTTTACAGGCGAACGACAACAAACTGAAGTCGAGTAAAATTTACACCCACCACACTTCCATCGTCAATGATGTCCAATATCACCCCTCCCACAAATCTCTGATTGGAACAGTCTCAGATGATTTGACTTTACAAATCCTCGATATCAGACAACCAGATACAGATAAATCAGTCAGCACAGGCAAAGGTCACACTGATGCCATCAACGCACTCGCTTTCAACCCTGCATCAGAATTTGTCCTGGCTACCGCATCAGCAGACAAGACCATTGGTCTTTGGGATCTGAGAAATCTCAAAGAGAGGCTTCACACACTGGAAGGCCACATGGATGCTGTTACTTCGCTTGCTTGGCACCCAACTGAAGAGGCTGTATTGGGAAGTGGCAGTTATGATCGCAGAGTTATTTTCTGGGATCTTAGCAGAGTTGGGATGGAACAATTACCAGATGATCAGGATGATGGACCACCTGAGTTGTAAGTACTGCATTCCTGTATTTTGGAGTAGTAAGAGATTCTAATCCGCTTTAGATTATTTATGCACGGAGGTCATACAAATCATCTTGCTGACTTTAGCTGGAACCAAAATGAACCATGGGTAGTATGTAGCGCAGCAGAAGACAATCTAATTCAAATATGGAAGGTCTCAGAAGGAATTGTAGGAAAGGACATTGAGGAAATTCCCATGGATGAACTGGAGCACTAAATTTGAATGTGGAGAATGACGCAATGGGAAATGGGACAGCCCGGATAGGAAGAACATATTGAAATACCCGAGCGTTGTCAAATGTATGAATGAATGGTAGAGGAAAGAATCGAAAGGGAGTTTGCGCTTTTTTTACGGTCGGTCGCGGCGTTGACTTGACGTAGGTTCGTTGGCTAGTTGGTTGATAAGCTGATAATGATAAATACGTCTCAATATAATAGCGTAGTTCAAAGGGTCTACGATGTAATTCAGTGTTCGAAATGACTCATATATTGATGGCTTTTATTCACGTTGCTTCATCTACATACACGTCTAAATTCGAACCTGAGAAATACTGAGTAAAAGAATGGTACTTGTAGATGATGAAGTACGTAGTATTCATGTGTATCAGTATCACTTGAAGCTTCTTGTCTTGTTTCATATATTTTCCAACGAAGTATATATAGAGCACTAAGGTGCGAAGTGTTACTCTTTAAAACTTGGGGGAGAGAGGAGAGGGGCGATGGGGTGATAATAACTCTACGGGGGAATATAATTGAATGAGGATTGGGTTAGTAGCGATGGGGCTTTCATGCTCTCAGTGACAGGAGATTTGTTGCATGCAGGTGAACACTCATATCATTGATTGACTTTTTTGATACTCTTATTAGAAGATTGTAGATACTTGAATACTTGAATTCTTGCATACAAGAAAGATGGAGTAGACAGCTCGGTATATATTACGCTGGGATGTACACGTTTCTCCCTCAAAAAATTTCATGGATTAGGTAGGTAATTACCACCCACTGCCTCCTATCCAAACTTGGTCAGCCATCTGTCTGATCACTTTGAGAAGTTTCTCGTTGGGGATAGTGGTTGTGATATGACAGTAAGAGTAAAAACACCACTAATAATGCTCTTGTTTGTTGATACATCGAGACTCGAATCGAATAATTGACGACAATGCACAGGATCAAAGGGTATAGTACTGTGAGTAATAGAATCTCATTCAAACCCCCAAGATTTCTACTAGATACCTAATAATTATCGATTTTCTCGCAGAAGATATCTTGCTATTGTCTGGACAGCTTGCTTAAGTAACATTCTGAATGATACTTCTGCTGAAAGCAAGCCTCGGGATAACTAAATTTTTATACATGGATATTGGAACTCGATATCTGATATTATATACAATATAGATGTTGATCTCATAAATGAGACAGCTTTCTACTCTTTCACACATATCCAGCTATACGAACTTGGCAAGTTCAGCAGGCTGAAGGCTGTAGAAGAATGTAGGGAGCTTGTGTCGATTGACTCATAGTCTTATGGCAACATGGTCAAGAATATATTGAAGATTTGGCAAGTCAACAAAAAAGGCTTGAAAATTAGAGGTTTTGCTTATATTATAGTTGTAGGTATCCCCCCACTTACAAAAATGTTGATAAAGCGAAAACATTATCCGAGAAATATATTCTGAAGATTAGAGCTTAATCAAAGATACTCGCTGATCAAAGAATTTGTAGATGGTGAAGTTAAACTTTCAACAACAACAGAACTCGCATGGATATCTCAAACCCCCGCAATATGAGGACGGAATATCTAGTCTATTTGTCCAGCAGTATAGCATAAGCACATATTTACCATTTCCAGAGGATTAGACTACGCTGGCTGGCTGTACAAACCTTCTCATTCCGTAGATCTCACAGTCTCCTTCGTAAGAAATGTGGAAGAGCAGTAGAACTTGAATTTGGGATAACAATAAATAAAACTCGATAGTGTTGTTCGAATTTCCCACCAAGCAAATCAAATCCGCCTTCCATTCTCCATACCCACTTCTCCAACTCTAATTCACCCCCCTTAAACCTCACTCGCTTCACTCACTCGCCTCACCCCACCAACCATCTCACCTCTCCCAAATTCCTCTCACCCCCCCCCCCCCCCCCCCAAACATTCGAACATCTCGCTAAGCCAGCCCTCCCCCAGAAACCACAACCATTTCCTGTACTACTGAGACATCCAAACCCATAGGAGTAGGCTGAAGCAGCTACACTATGACACCCTTCTTCTTAGCGATGTTTGTTACCGTTTTTTTGTGTATATATGAGGATCCTTAGAGTTTGGGATACCGCTTAGTTGTTGCTAGATATCATTATTATGATGATGATGATGATGATGATACCGCCATATACCTAGATATATAGGTATCTATATATTTCAGAATTCTACAGATATAATAGATCAATAACTATCAATTGACTTAAACATATCAATATAGCCCCTAGGTTTTCCGAATCCCAATACTCGGATAATCTCAAGATCAGTATAGGCATGTTAACCACATCTCAAATCAATCACTCAATCACTCACACCCATTACCGCATATATCCAATCTAATCCAATCCAGCCCATCAGCAAGACAACCTCCAACCTCCAACCTCCAACCTCCAATCTCCCAAAATCTTCAACTCCCGAGTTCCACAAGGAGAGTGATCCCATAACACCTGATCACCTTCCAATTTCCCAAATGAGACGAGCAAAATCGCGAAACTTATCAACCACACAGACAAAGGAAGACACTTTTCTGCACATCTCAAGGACGCATCTGAAAGTCTGTCCAAGCAGCCAGGTGTGCGTTGATTATATATCTATCAGAGTATATCATGTTATATGATAGCATAGCATAGAGTAGATGCAATAGAATACACAACCGCTAGTCATAAATCCCAGCACATCAAATCAACCACCATGTAATCAGACTGCATTGAAGATATAAATCAGTGGACTTTTAATTTTAAATGTCGAGAGGGGTTTTTATCTTGTTACATCGCAACTCCCAAATTCCCAAAAAGCCAAATGTCGAATCCGCGTGGTATCATTCAATAACATTCACTGCTCCGTTATCCCCTAACGCACCCATTGTCTTGTACAATCATATAACATCATTTTGTTCAACCTTCATCTACCAGGAGTATTTGCGCCCATGAAAGGACCACCAGATGGATTCAACGGGTCATTTTGTTGTCCTTGTTCTTGATCCCCACCAGGTGGTGAAGGTTCCAAATTGGTTGGATAGAACTGAAATGCGGGATCGATTGTATTTGAATTTCCTATGTAATGATCCCATTGTTCCTATTTCTCAATCAGCATTTTAATTCAATCTAAGATTTGGACAAAAGAGTTTGAAAACATGAACTTACCCAGTCGAGATTTGCTGGTAGATCCATCATTCCAGGAGCATTACCAGTATTGCCAAACATGGAGAAGGGAGATGCACCAGCGTTCAAAGTGGCAAAAGGGTTCAAATTGTTGTCGAGTGTGTAAGGGGTGAGACCGTTTCCACCTGATTCACCCATATTCAAATCCATGTTTGTGTATCCTGAAGATTGGCCCATGCTATTGAGCATCGCTGCCGAATTTGGCGACAAACCACCAGAAAGCATACCGAGAGTCATAGCTGCAGATTGTTCAGGCCTGAGGTTCTCATCATCGAATTGAGAGAAAGCGTCGGCTGTATTCATAGGTGTGGCAGAAGTATTGGCGGCCGGGTCCCTAGAAGCTTTCAATTTCTCGAGAATAATATTTAGAGTTTTAGATGCTTTAAATGACTCCATCGATTCTTCCACGGTTTCACTCCAAATACTTTGGGAAGTTTCAACTGCCTTGAGCATATTGGCAAGCTGTTCTGTTGTCCAGAAATGTTTGTCCGACGGACAAATAGTTTCATAATGTAGATCCAAGCATACTATCATGCCGGCCAGTAGATAATCGTGTTTGGTTAGAGATGAGATCGCCCATCTCATTGATCGCAATCGTCCTCCGGGCTTAGATTCAAGATGAAGTTTGTGTTGATGTCGAAGGATTTCCATCGCAGCATTGACACAGGCTCGACGAGAATGATCGTAGCGAGAATTTTGTCTCGCTCGTGCAAGATATTTGCGATGTAAAACACACATCGTCTTCTGCCATTGAATATCTACATTGAACCTATGCATCAAGAGCGTCGCAGGATCATGCATACATTCTTCCAAGGGCCTGAGTTGAAGATGGGGAGCAAGATTGCGTTTTAATTCCCATAATTTATTATCGCGGGCAAGGATGTCATCATATGTAATGCTCTTAGGATTGACACTTTGTAGTTCCTCCAGTATGCAATTGAATTCATTGGCTATGCTGATCTTGGCGAGCATGTAAGAAACAGGGGTAGGCTCAGTATTCGGTCTAGCGGGTGGTAATGTTTTCGAATCTGGACCAAACTCATCCTCAAATATGTTGCGAGGAAGTTTTGTATCACAGTCGCTATCACGTATCATACTTGGGAGTGCCAATTGAAAGGAGAACATTGTATCCATGGCGCGCACAAACCCCCATAGTCGACGACGCATCTCCCCATGGAAGACGGTGATACCAGGAAAGTTGCTTGGATCCCGATGATAGCCCATGCGCATTGATAGTCGAGTTATCATGCCGATTATGAGCCAAAGTCCCACTTCAGCATCCCAACGGCTCGCATACTCGCCGTGTACGTATAAGATTAGCGTTTCAATCGTGTAGAATGATGACTTTGTATAATCGGAATTGACAAGACACTGGACCGTGCGTTGCCTAAAATCACCAGCTTTGTCGAGAGTACAACCTAAATAAGAATTTAGCATCGTGAAAGGAGGTTGATGTTAACACAAAACGAAAAGCCGATCAAAGGAAAAGCAAATGTGGGTACTCTACCTTTCCATTCCGGTGGTTCATCCCCAATTCTTTGGTATGACTGCATGGCTAAACAGAGGATTGAATATAATAGGCCTAGCCATACTATCGAGGTTTTTGTGGGATCTTGCCAATGGGTTTGCAGTTCCTTGTGGAAAGTCGGGGAGTGTATGATATGTATAGCTGGGTCGTATGTGTTAAAATATCTGATAAACAATTAGTTGATCTTTCTTTCTATTGTTATGGCTATGAACAGACCTGGTAACGAGTTTATCAACTTCCGGTTTTGTAGGAACTGCCATTCGAAGGTCTTCATCTGTAGCCGGTGTATGGGCACCGAATAGAAAGGCCGGACCATCACTGGCAGACGACTTCTGAGATCTAATTTTTTCGTAGTTATTTTCGAGTTCCTTTTTATGATTATTGAAATAGGTTTTGACTTCTGCGATCTTTTTGACAAATTAGTAACGAATTCTGATCCATACTCATACTAGGCCTGCAAAGAACATGAACGAAAGACGAGTATTAAAGAAACTGCTCGACATTTCCATGTGCCTAGAGTCATCTTGTCCGAGTATTCAACCGGGAGAGGTCGCTCTAGCGACTTGCATATTTGCAGATATACATTGATCCAGAGAGTTCGTGATGGAAGCACGCAGAGAAGAAAAAAATGAAGGCCACAACATACATCTTTTAAGACTAAATGCCAATGTGATTCTCCTATATATGTTGTTTTTCCTTTATCGGCATCAACTTTCATAATACCTAGTGAGTCAGCAACACCATCCACATCACTATCCCCATCGCCCTCTTCTTTAATCATATCATCGTCGTCTTGGTCTAAATCGGGTGGAAAGGATGAACCCGCACTATCGCTCTGAGAACGGTTAATGGCGGCGGCGGCAGCGGCTGGACCTGCAGATGAAGCACCATTTGTCATCAGTGATAAGACTAAACCTTCTAAACGGTCAATACGATTTTGCATATCATCAGGACTGGTTGAGCCTTGACTTTGATTCTTCTTTCGTGTTCCTGGTGCAGCATATGAGCACGAGGAGGCGTCACCTCTCCTCGTACAATTCTCACATGGATGCGACCTATTACATTTCAACCTGTTTCGTAAGAAGGATTAGTACATGTGTGCTGGAGGGCCTAGATTTTGATAGAATAGAACGTAGTGGACTCACTTTCTGTGCCGGCAAGGCCCACATGACAGAGGAACTCTATTTCTCTTTCTTACCACCCGGTATTGCTCTTCTGGAGAGTGAGCTCCGGCGCTTGAAGAGGTAGTAGAAGGGGGTGTGGGAGTCATGATGATAAATTATTATTGATTTGTGAGGAGAAATCGAAGAAGCAAGCCCGTGCTAAGGTTATGTTCTACTCATAAGCTCACAGGAATGGGCCCTGTCCGAATAAAGTTTTATTTCTTTTACCAATATCTCACCACCAGAGAGTCGGTGCGTGCAAGCCGGGATTTCTTGATGCAAAGGACCAATGAAAAAGATAGTACAAGGAGGCGATGTGTCTTGCGTCGAGACGATCAGCTCCTAATTTGATAGGTGAAGTAGCCCGTTAGCTCGTTGGAGAAGAGAACGAACGGACCCTATTGGCGACGAGTGGGGAGATAGAGGTATAGAAGCAGGTGACAAACAGCTTTATGTCCACTCGGCAGTGTTTGACTGCACTACAACCTCACATATAAATTGGTGCCCCCTTTCCAAGAGTCTAGCTTTGGCGCTTGATTGCTTACAATGACAGGGCAAAGTGACTTGAACTTCCCTACTTGTCAAGGTGTAAGATGGCAAATGCGAAAGTATGATCTTCCTTGAATCCAGGTCTCCACCGATATTCTTTTCCTGCCAATAATCTACCAGACCCTATAGAGTGTTCACAATCGCCCCTGAGTTCTCACGCACTTTCCCCGAAAACAAAGATTACCCACTCAAAGTATAAACAGCAACCTTCAGTCCAGATCCAACAACGAGTATTACTGATGTGCTCGAGGATGACAAACGATCGGTAGCGCGAAAGTCGAATAATAAAGATTAGGTAGCTCTAATGACGTTGTCCCTCTACCTTAGGCTTTGCCAACGACTGAAGCGTAAACTAATAGCCGATATGTTTAAAGGAACCCCCCGCAGGTATGGGATATGAGTTATTTAGTATCGTCTTTGGGGGAGGCCGACGACCGAAAGATCAGATATTGTACCGTGATTTGTGGAGAGAATGATTCGGAGAGTTTAGGAGGGATATATCATATCACACACAGTATATGATATCAACTTAGCAATCGCATATTCTGCAAGAATAGTCAGTCGTTGCACCCAAACAAATGCGGAAACGTTGAAGTGCCAAACTACTCACCAGGGGGGGTAAACTCTGCCTGCGGTCCAGATGTTTGGATACAGGCGCAAATCAGTACCGAAGCTTGAAAATGATCGCCACCAAGCGTATGATTTGATTTCCAACAATTAAAACAAGAAGTTTAGTAATCTTTCCATCAACCGAATCCCATCGAAATCTCTGCAAAATGTTTGCGACAGGAAATATTGGAAATACGAATTGAGGTTGTTGATAAGTGGACTGTCAAATGATAAATGATAGCCTCAAGCTAAAGAAGTATCATTCACTGAATAAGGCTGGGGCTGGCTGGCATTTGGGACTTGGCCACCCCCGCCAAAGAGGGTCTGGGCTTAAATGGGCTAACGGTAAGTGCCGAAGAGATGTTTAATGTTTTTATTAATGTTCAATCTTTTATGCGTTTGCTTGCTTTTACACCATTTTGTGATTCTATCGAGGAGGTCGTCACTGGTGAGATATCGATATCGATATCGATCATGGCAAGTGCACATCAACAGTGACAGTCAGGTTACGTAATCCTTTATGAATATTTGGCAGTGCAGTCCACCAGTCTGGTGGTCCTTTTTACCTGATTAGGTAATCCAGGTATCTTTTGACTCTTGGTGTGTAGGTCGGTAGAGGATTCACGATAGAAGAAATTACCATCCCACGCGCTTTCAAGGCACCAACTTGGTGTGCGCGTTGCTTACCGATCTTTCGAGCTGATGTCCTTCCTAGTAGAAACTGATTCGAGCCAGTCCATGGGTTGGTTACTAATAACCGCCGATGACTCATACCTTTCGGTTCACTTCTGCTGCTTCAATATGCTGACTACTAGGTACCTACTTACATACGATACATGTCATGTGATCAAATCTTACCACGCATACCGATCGATATACTCCGTACGTCAACTTACTTGCAGTTGAACTCTAAAGAACATTAACGACGACGTCATGCATCCATCATTCCGCGGTTCGGAAGATATTAACTTTTTCCCATGTCCACAACTTGGCCTTAAGACCGCTATCTCCGTTGGTAGAAACTACCTACATAAGGGGTCCCAACGCCAGAATGGTCCATTGATTATCCCCCAATTTTCATCGGGCATAATACAACAAATGTTCGTACATCGTAAGTTTCATCCACTGCTATCTATTCATCTATTCAATGGATTCGCAAAACTCCAATGGGAAAAGGAAAGCAAAATATCGCAAAGCAAGACAAGGTGTAAGAATGCAACAAGGAATATCATGGCGAATACTCAAGCCAAGGCAAGCTACGCGAGTATTTCACCAATCTAAGCGCACGCGAATATGACCTTGCCTTACTCGTAAAGATACACAAGTTGGGCCAATGTGGGAGGGGCATTCTACCACTGCTTCCTCATCTGTATATTGTCAGTTGCTCCCGGTGAGGACTTGATACACCAGCTCCCAATGACTTTTTTATTCCCCTTTCTGGTAGAGTCTCTCTCTCTGCCAAGCAAATCAAGTGACAAAACATCATCATTTGTATCGCTCTGAATTGCCTTGCCCAATTAAACTTCTCAGCTTGATTCCCTCGTCAAGAATTCAATCTACTCAGATGAAGCATCTACTTCTCAAAGAGCCTCAATGAAAGGACAATTACTGAAATCTGACTTTGAGCTTGTGTCTGTTAACTACCTAGCAGCTCGAGCATCGAAGCGCCAATTTTACAAGAGCAATCTCAACAACTCACAAGTGCCGAGAGACTTACGTGATATGCATGTTCTTGGAGTACTTGAGGATGGGGAAAGATATCCCGGCCAAAAACTGCTTGCTTTTCGAATCTTTCTTATTGCCAGGGCTCAGTAGATCAAGCCCAACAGTTGGGACTCTTTTAAAGCCATTGATTTTAAGCAAAATATCTTACTTGTTTATTCTCGAAACAGCCCCCATCATCCCGAAAGTCAATATCTTGTTTATCTCGCTATCAATATAATGCTTTGATCACATTGAAAATGATATAGACAGGCAACTTTAGACATCATGGTTATTATCTTACATTGAATTTTGAAGGCACACAGCGAAAGGATTAAAATATCAGTTGCTTCAAGGCAACTTTACGTACCTAGAGGTAGCAATACTTTTCCGGTTTCAATATCTTCTCAGATGTCTTCTCTGGGACTTTCAAAACACATATCTTCAGCCCAAGTTTGCATCATGGTCAGGACACAGCAAGTCGCACAATGGCAAAATGCTCTAGCACCAAATATTATCGAACGACTTGTACACAAAATATTAAATAACAATTAGAAAGTAAATAAACGAATATGGTGTAATAAGTCGGTTACCCTACTTTCGGGCCAACAGGGTTTTGGGCCACCCTTTCACACCAAAAATCACTTTTTAGGCCTATTAATATCTCTATCAATATATAATACAATTCAATGAAAATTTGTATATATATAATTTAAATCGATTTAAGCTTATTCTGAAATTTTTAGATTTTTAGGATTTTTCTGTATTGAAAGCTAGAGCTTCAAAATATCGATTTTCAAATTTGTATGGGAATCACATACAAATTTAGAATTTTTATAAAACCTTTAATAACTTTTTAAAAATAATTATTAAAAGAAAACTATATATATTTTTGAGATATTTGAACTTGAATCTATATAAAAATTCAAAAAAAAATTCAAAAAAATTAATAGATATAAAAATATAGTATATAGTGAGTTTAGAGTAGTATAAATAATCCCTGTCATTTTGAGGGTACCCCTTTAAATATTTATTTATGAGAATTTTTTTATTTTTTCTGAATCTATTATATGAAATATATTATAAAGTGATAGTGAAATTTTACAATATATTTTTAGCAATTTTTATTCGAAAGTTATTAAAGATTTTATAAAAGTTTCAAATTTGTATGTGATTCCCATACAAATTTAAAAATCGATATTTTGAAGCTCTAGATCTCAATACAAAAAAATCCTAAAAATCTAAAAATTTCAGAATAAACTTAAATCGATCTAAATTATATATATATAAATTTTCATAAAATTCTATCCATAAATGAGAGAATTAAAATTTCCATTTTTGGTATAAAAAGTAGCCCAAAAGGGGGATAGCCAGAAAGTAGGGTATCCGACTTAGTCATTATCTATACAAAACTAGCAAGCATAATTGACGGTCTGGCTTAACTACCTATTAGTAGCAATTCGGTAATCTTGGTAAATATAAAGCTAATCCTAAGCTTTTGGCTCATATTCATACAAACGACATCAGCTACTCAGCTCTAGATCCTGCTCTAGTCAAAGTAGCTACACGGTTCGTATGATCATTTGCTATTTCCACTTCACCTCGCAGCCGTCCAGGCACACACCATGCCTTGTTTGATCACCTGAAATGTCAGACTTTGATTTCTTCAAATACCATCTCGTCCCACTCCCTACTAATGTTATTTTTGGCGCTGTAAACACATTTCCTCACTTCATGGTGCCATTAGATGCTCTACTCACTACTTATTGTGACTGAATTAAAATTATACTAGTATCTACCTAACAAGCAAGCCGGATATACAAGTCAAGTATCGAAGTTTATCAATGCATATCCTTCTCACTGAGTCTATAGATACTATAGGTTTGTATTATATTACAAGTCTTACTTAATTGTAATAGGATTACATATATCTTTTACTTGAACTGTGGAGAAGATGGTGGAAAGCTAAGTAATACAAGATCTCTACAACCTCTGGATTTGCTTCGACTCAGCTAGATAATCGCGCATTTTTATCAAAGTAGTTCTTGAATTACTCAGTGAAAATATTCATCTTATTATCTATACTACCTGCCCTGTGAATTTTCACCTGACACCTTTAGCATTCCGTCCACGATTTATAGGACTTGTCAATTTATTAAATCTAGCTGCCTCTATTACTTTTACAGTACACTTTTTATTCATCTCTCCCATCGCAGCAGTAGAAGAAATTGAAGAAGATGAGCGGGTG